TTTCTTACTAATTTTAAAAATTTGAGTGCAAGCCCTATTCTATCCTCTCTGAGTCTGACCACAGCATGGTGCTCTGAAGCCAAGTAGTTTTCATGCTTATGTCCCCACCTCCTCCAAACCTGTAAATTTCACAACTCAAAAGGAGGCTGAAAGTCTAAATTCTCTTGTTCTGAATGTGAAAGGACCGGTTACTTTTCAGCATCATCCCCTTTCTGACAGAGGACCAGGATGTTGCTTTTCACTTCTGGGGAGCACATATGAAGCCAAGGAGAAATTCTGTGGCACAATTTGAGCCATAAATCAATACAGGGAAATTGATCTGGATGTTCCCATCCAGGGGTGGTGACTGTTAGCCAGACAGACCAGATGAGACCTTCATCTAGGGATTTCTCATTTGGCCAAGCTAGGCAAAGTTTAGGCCATTCTAACTCACAAAAGGCTCTAAGTTTTGGGGTTTCATCTTAATACCATAATTTCCAGTAAAACCTTTCTTAAAATTCTTAAGCATGCATTCCAAAACAGTGGAATGAGATGTTTCTGTACCCACGATTGGCTGATCAGAATGTTGGTGTGTTTATGGGTACCCTTGTATGGAGATGTAAGACAAAGGTAGGGAATCACTTGCTCGCCTGCCTGGCTGCGGGCTTCTCAGCCACTTTAAGGTCCATTCAGGCTAAGGTAGGCTGTTGCCTAAGCTCACCATTGTGCCTTTGTTAAATGCGGCCACACACAAATTCTACAACTGGGGGAGGACTCTTTAAGCTCAAGCACTTCCTCCCTCTTTCTTGTTCTGCAGCTCGTTTTACACACTCTCCTATCCAGAACTCTTTCACTCACACATTTATTCAGAAGTTATCACATTCTCTTCCAGTTAGCCCCTAACCATAACCAAAACAAATGATAGAAGCTACCTCCCCAAATGGCAAAGCACAAGGAGTGATCAGGCCCCTGCACTATTTTAGCCCAAAGTTCACAAAGTGAACCAAAACAAATGGGAGGAGTTACCTCCCCAAATGGCAAAGCACAAGGGGTGAAAAGGCCCCTGTGCTATATTTGTCCAAAGTTACAGAATACAAATTCACAAGGTGAAACCGAAAGTTAATGACTAGGGGGTTTCCCGGGGTTTCTCATCCAGCAAAGGAAAGAGACAGATGAGACACCAAGAGCAGCGGTCCTCCTTCTGTAGTCTCCTTGGGTTCATGCAATCCTCTGCCCAGTGAGCAGATCTCTGTGTCCTGTTGGGGAGCCTAGGAAATTAGTCCCAGGGGTGCACCTTTCCTCTCCAGGAGACAGAGAGCCGCTCCCTCTGGGGGGGTTTGGGCCATGCCCAAAAGGGCTATTTCATTCCCGATTCCTGGCCAGTGCACCAAATGTTATGGAAATCTCAGAAAGAAATACACAGAGACACAGAATTCAGATAAAATAATAAAATTTCTTCTTGCAAGCAGGCGAGAATGCCAGAAACCAGTCTGGTCAATATCCATGTGCCCTATGTTCAGTGTTTCCCTTTTTATATCATTTTTTAGCCATTATCACATCTCTAGTGGTCTTTGATATGTAAATGCAATTCCAGTTCGTATTTACAAGTCACAGACACAAGATAGGCCACATATACATTGTAAATTCACCCTGGCATGGTAACTTTGTTAGGTTCATGCAGTTACCAGTTAGAGACAAATAATCCTCACCTTAAACAAGGAGTTATGGGAAAAGCAAATCTTAAAAGAACAGATTACTTATTTTGTTTCTACAACTACTTTAATATTCAATCTATTATCTAAAACTTTTCTGTATCATCCTGAACAAAACAAGATGAGAGCTAAAAACACGACACTGTATTATGTATTACATGAGAGTTGGGGGTGTCTAATATACAGAAGAGTGTGCACAGATGGTTTGTAAAAACTACCTCATTTCCTATCAGGGACTTGGGGATCTAAAGATTTAGGTATATATGGGGGTTCCTATCTGATTCCTGACAGGTATGTCATATAATTGATATATATGTATAAATGTATGTATATATAATAGCTATTTACCTGGAGGCATACAAACATATTCATATGCTGACATACAATTTTAGTACATGACCACATGAAGCATATGTGGATATATAAACATAGAGCTATATATGTAAATTATACATATGATGTATATGTATATACAGCATATAGCAATATGTTTAGCATGTACCATACATTATCTGCTAAATATATATGTTAGCTAGCTGAACAAGTATAATAAAATATTTATAAGTAACAAGGTTAACATAAATAATAGGTATAGATATGATGGCATGGCCCAGAATATAATTTTATAGCAGGTAATGTGGTAACATATGAAAAAGAAAAGAAACATATCACATATATTTACATATCTAATGCATTCATATGCCTACATATTATCTTTTCAATGATATTGAATTGTGTTACATATATAATACTATATAATACCTACTGGCTTATTGTGGGAATTTAGCAATATCAGCCCATAAGTTTGCCTTTAGCCTGAGATGATGTGATTGTATGTACAAAGATCTGGGTCTTGTGTGCAGTGAGTATTGGATTGCAGGTAACTGTTACTCTGGAGACACCCTCCCTACCCCTGGAAGAGCCGCTTTTCTTCTGAATAGTTTAATAATATATGAGTTACTGAGTTGGTGGTCATTGTCCTGTAGCAAGGGATAGGTTCTGGGTCATGAAGGGATCTAGATCTCAGGTTGAACCAGCCATGGAACCAGACAGACTCACAAAGCAGAGGTCTCTGTCAGCCTCTTCAGCATCTTTGCATTTGTTTAGCAATGTTCCAGCCTGGCTGAGCTACAGAATCTAACTGGGTAAATTGAGGTTTCTGACAATGCCACCTCTAAGAGGAAGTGTCACATATGATGCTGTGATCAATTTCCCGAGGCCACTGCCATCCACTGCAGCTCAGCCCTCAGGACATTTGTGTGTCCTTCAGAATCCATGTCAAGACTTGCCTGGCATCGTGTGAGCCCCTGCTCCCAAGGAGAGTATGAACACTATATCACCCAGGCCTCCAGTACTTCAGGAGGCTTCCGACAGCCCAGTGAGGGGTGGCTGGCATGATAGTTCTAAGTATTATGTATGGTGGGCATTTCCCTGAAGACAGCAGCTTCCTTCTTAACTAGGGTTTATCCAGATTGTCCTTAGGGCTGGCAGATGGGAGAGAGAGAAAGAGATGGAAGAAGAGGAGAGAGAGAGAGAGAGAGGTCCTTGGATCAATCACCACCATGGGCTGTGCTTACCAGGCCAGAGAGGGATGTGGCGGCTACCAGAGTACACACTGCCTGATCACATCACCCTGGACCTGAAGGCTTCAGACTGGACAGGGAGTGGCTGTAATGGGAGCTGAGCCAGATGACACATGGTTTCACCCTCCTAGATCCCTACACCCTGAACAGGGATAGTCTGTATGTCAGTAGTGAACATCCGGGATGTGACTGGGGTCTCTTCCTCCATGCTGGGTGGCCTCTCCTCTCTGGATTGCACTTTCCTTCCCTGCCTGGCACTTGAGGTCTTGGCAATGTGCTCACTGTGTGCTGACTCATATGGACCTCATGATGCCTTCTTCCTCTTATTGGATTAACTTTGTCTTCAGAGCCTTTTCTCTTCAGTGAGAGTCTTGATTGAAACTTCTACAGATCATGCTATATGAATCTCCCTCCCACTGCACCAGGCTGTCCCTCAGTTTGGTACCTACCTCTCCCTTTACACTGACACACTTTCCTCCTCCTTCTTACTGCAGGATTCACCCATCTCGGCTCTGTGCTTCTCACCAGCAGTGAGTATTCAACTGATGTTCCAGTGATGCCTCTCCCTCCACATACCAGGCAGAGAAGGAGCTTTCCCTCTCCTCATGACCCATGGTGTCTTCTCCAGGACCAAAGGCTGTGGAGGCAAAGTTATTTATCCCCCTGCTTCTGCAGCTTCAGAGAAATTCCCATCTCAGCCCTATGTGCAGCACGCCCCATAAGGAATCTCTCTTGCTGATTTCTGCCTGGGGAGTGACTTGTAGCTTTCATTCATAAGAGCTTCTCCTCAGCTCCTGGGACCTCCATGGTGGACCTGGAAACTTCTGGGGCTTCATTCTACACCTCTAGCCCCACGGAGAAGTACCAGCTTCCAGAACTTCTGTGAGAGGAAGGTCTGATTCTGCAAACACCTCCTACATGACTCAGTAAAAGACCGAAGGTCACAGCAAAGCTAGGGATAAGGAATCAAGCCAAAACCTCAATGGAATCATTGTTTCACTTGAACTAGGTCTGGGGATCCATCAAGGAAAGGAGGTCATTGCTATCCTCTGAGAGTCCATGATGCTGTGATGATGATGATAGTGACTGTGATGCTGCTGCTGCTGCTGCTGATGCTATGGTGCTTTTGATGATGGTGATGGTGATGACAATGGCGCTGATAATGACATGGTCATGAAATGGTGGTGACAGTGATGACAATTGTGGTAACAAGTGAAATAGAACACTTGACATGACAAATCACTGAATATGTACCCCAAACCCTATCCTGCACTTCACTAGTGTTGTTTAATAGGTTTTTTATTAAAAGCTTTCTATAATTGTAGGGAATGAGGCATATAAATTTTTATTTATCATGGACTTTCAACTTCTCCTGACTTTTTTTGAAAAAAATAAGTGAATGGAAAACTATTTTCTCCACTTTTAAACCTTCCATTTACTTTTCTGACTCCAATTGTGAGTAAGCTTTTTGGATACCCTGGTTTCATAGGACTCTAAAGGTGGTTCCCACCTGCACAGATCTCTAGTCATGTTAGGTGGTGCCCTCTGGTGGAGAAGTGCAGCCTCTGTGTGAGGGCTGGAGATCTGTAGAAAAAGCTCTGGACAGAGAACTTGGGAACCTTCACTACAGTTTCTCTTTTCTGCCTTTCCTGTTGCAGCCATGAGCTCTACACTGGTACTCTTTACCACCAACCTGACCATCACGAACTTGCAGTTCATGCCGGATATGAACCATCCAGAATCCCTCAGGTTCAACATAACCAAGGCCATCTTGCAGCACCTGGTGAGAGCACGGAGGTGTTTGCAGCCCACTCCTCCCCCCTTCCATAGCTGCTCAACCCTCTCACTCACCTTCTCTCCAACCTCCCCATCTTGGCCCTCTGATGAAGAACACCAGTATTGGCCCACTCTTCTTTGCCTGCTGACTGACCTACCTCAGGTGAGATGTCCAGGCATAGACCCTGTTCCCCAACCAACTGGTGGAGCAGCTCCGGGCACAGGTGATCTGGCACCTGCTGAGCTTTCTTCCCAGGTTTTGTCCTCTCAGGCTGCTGTTCTTCCTTTTTCTGATCCTCACCAATATAGACATTCCCCAGGAGTGAATTCCAGAATTTCCCAAATCATTCTGTACTGGGAAAAATAATGAAAGCGGAAATGAAGATTTTATGGTTTATACAATTCTTAAACAATAGTGAAAGTGCTCAATATTGATGCACTCAATATATAGGCAGTGTTCTTGGGTTGCCCAACTGGTTTGTTATTTCCCTTGGCAAAGTCTGGAATGGTTTGTAGCTGATATCCTTAAATGGAAAATACAAAATGTTTCAAAATCTGAACCTTCTTGATTTGTCATAATTCTGTTAAAACAATTTCAAATATAAGAAGATATAAGATATTTGGATTATGGATAATTAAGTCATACAGGGTACCCATATGCTGTAAATAAGAATAAAGAAATTTGAAACATTCTTGTCCACAAATATTACAAATAACAGATACTAAAATTTTGATGTGTATACAGTGAATGAAGGTCATGCCAATACAGTCCCAGTTCACCTTCTGCATCTACAGATCATTTACGCATTCTAAGTTTTTTCACTTATTTTTTCTACCTCCTAAGGACTTTAATTTCAGCTTTGTGGCATTTCCAGCCAGTCTGACAAGACATCTTCATGACCAGTCTTCCTTATGTCCTTATCCACATGCCCCCTTCCTAGGCATGAGTAGGACAGATCAGCCACCAGAGCAGATCTCATCTGCACCCATTGCTCTGAGCCCACAGGCACTGGGGTGCACACAGAGCAACTGTACTGAAAGGTGAGCCATGAGACCCACAGGGTGACCCAGCTGAACCCCTAAAGCCTGGAGAGGAACAGCCTTTATGTCAGTGGTCAGTAGTTTGCAGCTGCAGTGTGAGTTCCCTGAGGGATTTGCTGCAACAGTGTGCTCTGTGCTTCTCACATACAGGAGCGGGCCCATCTTCACAGCTGTCCTGGAGCTAAAAGGACAGATGAGTCCCTCAGAGAATAGGGAGGAGTGGGAAGATGGCAGAGGGATGAATTGCACTTAAACTGACACAGAAATTGCTTCTTGAGTTTCACTCATAGCTCTGGGCTTTCTCTACAGAGGTTTCATATAATTTTAGTGCTGAGGATGGAACCTAGGTCCTCATGTATGTGAGGCCAGTGTTCTACCACTAAGGTCCATGTCTTGTACCCTGGATCTGTACTTTTGAGCCTTTGAGAAGACCTGTATATATTACTATAAATCCAATAGAACCTGGGCATGGTGGTGCATGTCTATGATCCCAGAATTCTGGGGAGAACGGGGCAATCACTAGTTGTAGCCCAACCTGGACAACTTAGTGACAGCAGCATTTTGTCACAAATTTAAAAATAAAAATGAGACAGAGATGTAGCTCACTGTGAAGCTACTATAATCAATCTGCAGTACTGAAACACACACACACACACACACACACATATACACACACTCAGCAAAGTAAATACATATTGATCCCTCTTACTCAATTTCCCATCTGTATTATCCTTACCCTCTTTCCTTCCCTTTCCCCAGGTTACACCCATTGCTTTCTGACCAGCAGTGAGTAACTTGGGTCCCAGGATCACTGTGCCTTTGGACTTCACTGGTCTTTCCCCTAACTCCTACCTCACATCCCCTGAGAAGGAGGAGTCCGATAAGAAGAAGAAAGCTGTCTATCTTTGAAGGAAATTTGTGATGAATGGTATCAGGAAGACAGGAAGGAGAAAGGATGACCTAGGCATGGTTTCCCAGGGAGAAGGATATCCAATATCAGGATAGGCAGTGAAAAAAAGGTCTAAAATTTATGCCTCATTTCTTCAATTAATTATGTCAATAATGTTACTAAAGAACACTTTACACTTGATATGTGAATTCCTTACTAGGTTGTTTTACTCATAAGATATTAAGGTCCCTCATCTATAACTGCTATTGAAGCATCCAGGCACAATAGGCACAAGGCAAAATTTGTACAATGTCCTATTTCTGCCTTGCAATATTGCTCCACCTTCTCCTGCCATAGCCTCACAAGCAGCCTGGGTATTAGAGTTGGGGACTGTCTTTCACATCATAAGATTCAGCTTAGGATACAATGATATATTTTTGCTTTTACTTAACTGCTATAAAAATCCCATGCAACTCATACTGTTTTCCTTTAATTTCTTCCCCTTTTGGAAGATGTACTGTGTATTATCTCAGGTGAGTAATGTTTTATCTTGCAGTATCAGGTGAAAGTATTATCATCATAACAGACCTTACAGCTGGAGATTTGGGGAAACACATTCTCAGCATCAGCTGTGAGTCCTTTGTTGAAGCTGTCACTTGGTACAGAGTGGTCAAGAAATTGTAGACCTTGAAAATACAGGAAACTAACTGTGGTTTTATTTTGATGGTAGTGTTCAAACACCACATGGTATAATCACACTGATTCATTAGGCTGACTAGTAATATAAAGTCTGAGGTCAACTCATGAGGTGAATGGTCAGTTCTGGAGCCCAAACTCTTGGCTTCCAATCCCTTTATTAACATGACATATATGACAGTCTCATGTGTCAAAGTATTTGTGTAGCCATAAATGTATCCCTTTATCCTTTTCTTTCCATAAGATTGTGGGTGAAATGGAGGCTATTGACAAACCTAATTCCTAATAGTTTAGAAAGAGTAAAATCAGTTGATATCTTTAAAGTGCTGCAAACTGTACCTAGTAACAGAGTTTTCTAAGTGTTAGTGTGGGTAGTCATAGCCATTTATCAAAATTATTGTATTTATTATCATGTATTTATAATCATGATTTATGGTAACATTCTCAGTTCCAAAAATTGAGTCTGTTCCAATAATGGAAGATTGAAATGACATGGGATATTTAAGTCATTTTGGAGGGCTGGCTCTTACTGAGCAGACTATATTGAATTTTAGATTCCCCTCAGTAGTATTTGCAGAGCATTATCCAGCTGCATCAGTCTTCAGAAAATTTTTAATGCTGCTCCAACTGTGGAAGAATTAATTAATCATGCCACAAAAGAATGTGTGTTCTAGAGTGGGTTTAAGAATGGTCTGTTTTAGATGCAGCATATTCAGAACATATGTTTCCTGGACCCTCCATTTATACTGCCCATGATTTTAGGAGATATTATATCACATCTTACCAATTAGTTGAAGATAAAACATTACTCTACTGAAATGTTATGTACCATATCTTCTTTACCTCAAAAGAAAATAAGTGGTGAAAAATAAATCTTGGAGAATTCTACTTTTCTGAATTTATTTTAGAACATAATGGTCAATGTTTTAGGATGGTGGACTTCAAGTGTTGTATCAAAACCAGCAGAAGCAGCATTTTAGATGAGAAAACTTGAACCTATGTCCAACTTTCTGAATCTGACACCCTAGGTGTGGAGCTCATAACACTGTGATCTTTCTAAGTCCTCCAGATGATTCTCATGCAAGATGCTAGTTGAGAATCACTGTCATAAAACACAGAAATAATACTTTTGGTTGTGGTTTTCCTGTTAGCTTGTGATTTGGGGAAATTCTCAAGGAAAATGCAGTCAATTGATTGATTTGTATCCATTAGTACATATGTTGAACAGTACTTCCATTAGACAGACAAACCAGGGATTGTTGTTTTACATGGTCTTCTGAATTTTTAAAAAATTTGGTTTAAGTCTTTTGGGAGGGCTTGCTCTTGCTGAACAGACTGTATTGAATCATGCTTTTTAATTAAGGAATTTACATTTTGTAAATGTAAAGATGCAGGCTTGCAATTTTCTCAAGTTTGTTGTCTTTTCTTGCTCTGGTAAGAATCTAAATATAGCCTTCTGAATGGAGGTTGGATGTGTTCACTCCTCTTCCAATTTAGTAGGACTCAGAGAATAATTGATGCAAGTTCTTAGCTAGTGTATGTCTGTAATCCCAGCACTCTGGGAGGCTGAGATAGGAGGATCACAAGTTCAAGCCCAACCTGGACAACTTAGTTAAGTTAGAAAATTCCTTTCTCAAAATTTAAAATGCTGTATTTAATTCAGTGTGAAGAGCCTAGGTTTGATCACTAAAAAATAAGTTGATATAATTTCTTTAAATGTTTGGTATAATTCATAGGCAAGGCTCTTAGGTCCTGAGTTTATTGCCAGTCAGGAAGTTTTTATTACTGATTCAATCTCTTCAGAATAATTATTGTCTCAGGAACAATTTATGACTTTATCCATCAGTCCTAAATAACAGAATGCACATCATAGTTGCACCCTATCCTAGGCCTTGAGATGCATCCATTCACCTAAAAGTTTCTGAAGTCTATCCTTCTTTGCACCAGAGTAGTATTCCGATGTTTGTGTATTATTTATTGTATATAAGAAATGCTGATGAGGATGTGGGGAAAAAGAACCCTTCTCCATTGTTGACGGGAGTGTAAATTGGTACAATTACTATGGAAATCAGTATGGAGATTCCTGAAAAAAATAAAAGCAAAGGTTCTATTTGACCCAGCTATTTTTCTTTTAGGTATCTTCCCCAAAAAGTTAATAGCATCATATTACATTTATATATCCATACTGATGTTTGTAGCAGCACAGTTTATAAAACCTTGGAAACAGCCAATATGCTCATCAATAAATGAATGGATAAATAAAATGTGACATTTATATACAATAGAGTACTATTCTGCCATTAATATATTTATGAAGAATTTTTCTTTGTGTTTTCAATTTTATCATATGCTAGCAATATTATCATAATTTTAAGTATATACAGAGTCTGTCAAAAATGTATACACACTTGAACAAGAGAAAAACTTGTATAAAGAGTCTAATACTAAGTTGATTGAGACACCATAAGATTAATACAAGTTTCTTAGGGCCAGAGATTTAGCTCAGTGGTTTCAGTGCCTACCTCGCAAGTGCAAGGTCCAGAGTTCGATCCCCGGTACCAAAAAAAAAAACAAGTTTCTTTGGCCTCTACAATTACAAGAGGTGCTCAAAGTGGTGGCCATTAGCTTCCAGACATTTATTCATTTTCTTTTCCTGAAATGTGCATACATTTTTTTGGCAGACTCTGTATATATAATACACATCTGTAAAATTTTTTCACAGTAAAAATTCAGTTAGACTTCCTGATATGATGAAATAGATAGAAATAGCTAAAGTGGAAGGTAGAGGTTTACTAACAAAGTTCAATGGATTATGTGTTTAATAAAATTGATCAGTAATGATGGAGAGACCTGGATGATGCACAGCTGGAGTCAGGAGTGAGGAAATCACTCATGTTGAATTCCTTCCCTCTGTAGAGTTGGTGTTTAAGAATATATGCTCCTGGGATTGAAGTTACAGTACTGATTCTGGTAACTATCAGGTTAATGAAGAGCTTTGGAAATTGACCCCTGAGGGATACAGAAACTTTAGAAGTCAGGCTGTGTAACCTCACTCAAAAGCCCTGCCCAGTCAGGCAGCAACAGTTGTGCTGTCTTCAGAGAAGGATCTTGTTGGTGCAGAAGCACTGAGTCAGTCCATGTGTCTGGCCCTCCTGAAGACAGATCTTTTGACTTTCACATGTAGGTGACTTTCTGAACACCATTCTCAGAGAAATCCTCCAGGTAAGCCAAAGTCTCTTCACTTATTATCTGAAAATGAGTGAAGATATTGGAGTACAATTTCATTTCCTTACAGAAATCTCTTGGATATTCATGTGAGGTTGGTGTGTGAGTTCTCTGGGTAAGGAGTTGGAGAAAGAGTAGCTCATTGAGCAGTTTCTTGGTCCTCATGTTTCACACCAATAGGCAGAGCACA